ATCTAGACTAGAGGTCTAATCAATTGTGTTAAATGATACTAATGAAGACAATCTATAACTTCTCTTTAGGTAAAATGACAGAAAAATGGCATTTCGGACAATTTACTCACAGCTCGCAATTCGCATTGCCGCACGTACATTAAATGTGCGTTGTATCGACTCGGACCACTGAATTTCGAGCAGTGTTTTTGTCAGTAAATCACTGCAAAAATATTATTTTCATAATGTATGAAGGTCTATTTTTGATTCCTGGTATAAATTTCGTTATTGAGAAGTCGAATGTACTACATTTTAGACGAGATGGCTGATGTTTGTTCACATTCTTTCGTCCTGGCCGTAAATTAGCAGACTATACTGCTAGTGCTACCACGCAGCAGCTCGTCGCTCAGCTCTACTAGTCTCTAGCAGTACAGTTCCTGGGTAAAATCTACACTGGAAGTAAATTTATGTTATTTTGGTGCAATAAACATGGAACCTGTCAAAATCAAGTCAAAATCAGACAAACAAAATGGCTTGCTTACATTTTGGGCTCAACTTCCACTGCAACTTTTTGATTTTGCTGAGTTTTTTAATTTTAAAATATAGTTTTTTAAATTTTAATTTTAATTTGTATTTTATCAATTTTTTTAAACAGCCGCGCGCCACTCCGACTGATCGCAAGCGCCACAAGTGGCGCGTGCGCCGCCAGTTGAGAAGGCCTGTTCTAGACATTGGTTAATATGCGCTCAAATAAGACCTTTTTAATGTCGGCTGCTAGAATTTGTTTACCCCGTATTCGCTGAAGTATATAATAATCTACATTTCATGTGAGTTTCAGCTCATTTAAAGCAAATGGGAATTAGCGGCGAATGTATTAAAGACTGACACCCCTTCACCGATATACTCTTCATGCTATGCGCTACTAACTAAAATATTTGTTCTGGACATTTGTTGATGTACACTCAAATAAGACCTTTTTAATGTCGGCTGCTACAATTTCTGCACCCTGTATTCGCTAAACTATATAATAATCTACATTTCATGGGAGTTTCAGCAAAATTAAGGCAAATGGGAATTAGCGGCGAATGTATTAAAGGTCGAAACCCCCTTCACCGATATACTCTACATGTTATGCGCTCCTAACGAATATATTTGTTTTGGACATTGGTTGATATGCGCTCAAATAAGACCTTTTTAATGTCGGCTGCTAGAATTTGTGCACCCCGTATTCGATGAGGTATATAATAATCTACATTTCATGTGAGTTTAGGCACATTTAAAGCAAATGGGAATTAGCGGCGAATGTATTAAATGCCGAAACCCCTTTGCCAATATACATGTACTCTACATGTTATGCGCTACTAACGAATTATTTGTTTTGGACATTGGTTGATATGTGCTCAAATAAGACCTTTTTAATGTCGGATGCTAGAATTTGTTTACCCCGTATCTGCTGAAGTACATAATAATCTACATTTCATGTGAGTTTCAGCTCATTTAAAGCAAATGGGAATTAGCGGCGAATGTATTAAAGACCGACACCCCCTTCACCTATATACTCTACATGTCATGCGCTACTAACTAAAATATTTCTTCTAGACATTGGTTGATATGCGCTCAAATAAGACCTTTTTAATGTCGGCTCCTAGAATTTGTGCACCCCGTATTCGATGAGGTATATAATAATCTACATTTCATGTGAGTTTAGGCACATTTAAAGCAAATGGGAATTAGCGGCGAATGTATTAAAGGGCGAAACCCCCTTCACCGATATACTCTACATGTTATGCGCTACTAACTAAAATATTTGTTCTGGACATTGGTTGATATGCGCTCAAATAAGACCTTTTTAATGTCGGCTGCTAGAATTTGTGCACCCTGTATTCGATGAGGTATATAATAATCTACATTTCATGTGAGTTTAGGCACATTTAAAGCAAATGGGAATTAGCGGCGAATGTATTAAAGACCGACACCCCCTTCACCGATATACTCTACATGTTATGCGCTACTAACTAAAATATTTGTTCTAGACCAGGCCTTCTCAACTAGTTTATTAGAAGTGCCAAAACAAAATTTTATTAAGGTTGAAGTGCCAACCTGTATGTTTGGTGACTGTGTTGCGAGGGAGTGTAGTGACCGAGGCGATAGATGGGGTCCAGGGGCGAAGCCCCCGGAAGCTAGTAGATTTTAGGGCTTTTTTAAGGCCCAGATGTGGCTGATTTAACACCTTTTTATTCCATAAAATATCAATCATAATTTCATATTGGTGTGAAATAATTAGGACAATTCCTGGGTAAAATCTACACTGGAAGTAAATGTATGTTATTTTGGTGCAATAAACACGGAACCTGTCAAAATCAAGTGAAAATTAAACAAACAAAATGGCTTGCTTACATTTTGGGCTCAACTTCCACTGCAACTTTTTGATTTTGCGTAGTTTTTTAATTTTAAATATAGTTTTTTTAGTTTTAATTTTAATTTATATTTTATCAATTTTTTTAAACAGCCGCGCGCCACTCCGACTGACCACAAGCGCCACAAGTGGCGCGCGCGCCGCCAGTTGAGAAGGTCTGATCTAGATCTATATCTACTATATTATCATTACTCATTCAGAGTAGAATATCCAATTTGAGTGAGTGAGTAAACTAGACCACTGTAGCTACATCATAATTACTATTAGTCATTCAGGGTAGAATCTCTGATTAACATGATGATGATGATTCAGGGGCGGCTGAGCGACTTCCAAAGTGGGGGGGGGGGGGGGGGTGTTACACCCACAAATGTAATAACGCCCACAAATGTAATAACACTTTACCCACAAATGTAATAACACTTTACCCACAAAAGTAATAATTTCACCCACAAATGTAATAACCACTTTACCCACAAATGTAATAATTTTGAATCACCCACAAACGTAATAATGACTTTACCCACAAATGTAATAAATTTGAAGTGATATTTTGTAGAATTTTTTCAAAACTAAAACCGTGTAACAGGGCTCGAATTACCCACCGGCAATCAGCAATTTGCCGCCTTGCCCCTCTCACTGGCCGGAATGCCCTTTTCAAAATCAAACCGCTTACGGCCACAATATTTAAATCCACAAAAGTTTTGCTAACATTATAGTCATAAGTCAACCCCGACTTGTAATGTTCAAAAAGACTTTGTTGCCCCAACTGAGATCTAAAAACATTATTAATCAGCAAGGTTTTGTTGCCCCTACAGAGCTTTAAAAACGATAATAATTGGCAGGGTTTTGTTGTCCCTACGGAGATCTTAAAACGGTAATAATCGGCAAGGTTTTGTTGCCCCTACGGAGCTCTAAAAATGATAATAATCGGCAGGATTTTGTTGCCCCTAACGGAGCTCTAAAAATGATAATAATCGGCAAGGTTTTATTGCCCCTACGGAGCTCTGAAAACATTAATGATCGGCAAGGTTTTGTTGCCCGTACGGAGCTCTAAAACAATAATTATCGGCAAGGTTTTCTTGCCCCTTCGGAGCTATTAAAACAATAATAATCGGCAAAGGTAATCGGCAAGGTTTTATTGCCCCATACGGAGCTCTAAAAACAATAATAATCGGCAAGGTTTTGTTGCCCGTACGGAGATCTAAAAACAATAATTATCGGGAAGGTTTTGTTGCCCCTACGGAGCTCTAAAAACAATAATAATCGGCAAGGTTCTGTTGCCCCTACAGAGATCTTAAAACAATAATTATCGGCAAGGTTTTGTTGCCCCTACGGAGCTCTAAAATGATAATGGCAGGGTTTTGTTGCCCCTACGGAGATCTAAAAACGATAATAATCGACAAGGTTTTGTTGCCCCTACGGAGCTCTAAAACAATAATAGTTGCTCGACTTCTCTGAGCATCTGGCTGGCCAGTTGAAATTATGATTGGAAGAAGTCTTTGATGGGGAAAAGGGGGTGATTCTTCGTGCTACCCCAACGATTCTTCCCTGTTGTATCGTCGATTCGACATGCATGGCGAAGAGAAAGTACCGCACTACAGCGCCGTCTCTTTGCTGAGTTTTTTTCTCGATCAGCAGACATTTCAACTAGACCAGTAGTAATTACAAGCCGAGTAATACAACCGTTTTAGCTCACCTGCATTCTGATCGCGGTCTCCCTGCTTAATTTGTTCGATTGAGAGACGTTTCAGCTAATTTATAACCGAGAAAAACAACTTTATCTCCAAAAAATGTCACGCTGCAATACACTACTGTGAACACTGCACTATGAACGGCTGAGCTGAGCTCATCGCGAGTTTTCCCCGTGCCGCGAAGTTCAAGTTACGCTAATTATCAAAACAAAACATAGGCGAAGCCAGTGTGTCAGGATCTGCAAGACGATCAATTTTACAGTACCAAACGTCAATATTTCAAGGAAACCAAACATCGGGAAGTAACCAATGCTCATACTAATTGAAAGAATGTTCATTTCTTTATTGTAAATTCATTCAATATCACAAAAATTGCAAAATCTACTAAAAAAATGACCTATGTTTGTGTACGTATTTACATTAAAATAATATGTTGTACTTCCGGGTTTAGGAACAGTCCACGGAAATACGTCACATATACTACGTCACGAACAAGAATATCAATGCTTCCGGGTTCCTCTGCTTACACTTTTGATCTTTCTAAGTCTAATAATAATTTAACAACACATGCAAATTTCTGTCAATCAATATATATGCTCAGTGGCTGCCGGGCTCACGATCAATTGGGCAAAAAGAATTTCTGTTTCGGTTTAATAAAATTTGGAGTGGACTATTAGGCTATTATTATTATTATTATTATTATTATTATTATTATAAGCATTCCAACAATAGCAAACATGCATATTTTCATCACTTTCTTCCAAATTCACCTTTAGATATTGAGGGCAGTAATTCTATATCAGCATATTGCTGCTTATGTTCTTCTCTACTTTTGAATGCTGCTAAAATATGCTTATGATTTTTGATGAACATTTCAACCCTCAATGCTAAATTTTGACAGTTTTCTCATTCAGTTTCAGAGTAGCAAACAGGATCGAAGCATTCTACACTGGAGGAAAAGTCTATGTAGCATCAGATGGCAGCCACATCTTCTGTACAAATGGAGATGAAGTTAAGATTCTGGATGCTGTGACAGGGAAGGCTGTTCATAGCATCAAAGATGTAAGATTTTGCACCATTTTAAAATGTTGATACTTTTTTTACCCCCCCCCCCAAAAAAAAAAATGTATGCAAAGATAGCTTGTGATCGCATTATCATTAGAACCGATGAACGGATTACCATCAAACTCAGGACATGGATTATTTTGCAGAGCCAATGAACTGATTATACTTAGGGGGTCATGAGGTCAAAGGTCATGGGGCTCATAATGTATGCAAAAATAGCTTGCGATCTTATTATCATTAGATCCGATAGACAGATTACTATCAAACTCAAGACATGTATCTTGCAGAGCCAATGAACTGATTAGATTTTAGGGTCATGAGGTCAAATGGTCATACATGTACCGGTATATGGAAAATAGCTTGTAATCATAATATTCTGAGGACCTGTTAATGGATTACAATCAAACTTGAATTTTAAAAATTGCTTCTGTTTTAGTTTGTAAAATCACTCTATGGTGGATGGAGGCATCATTTTCGACAGCACACAGTCGAAGATCCATCTAGTTTTGATTACAGTTTAGCTTTTTCTATACCTTGTGATGTTCGAACAGTTTCATGAATATGAATGATCAAAATGAGACAATGATTGAATAATGACCAGTATATAGCTAAGCAGAAAAGAATTGTATTAACCTTGTGAATTTTTATGTTATTTTAACAGGAGGGTGCGGATGAAGTGACATGTTTTGCTGTCACTAAAGATGATGAGGTGAGTTAAATAGCTACATTATAATTGTATCCCCCGGCAGGAGGATACTTTAGATTCAGCAGAGTCCCGCCGCCACAGCAACGTCATATTCTTGTGTGCGGTCTAACTGCCACATTCCTTGACAGATTTCTTTCAAATGTTGTATGGAGGTGTATGTTGGTATAATCTGCACACTTATAATTTGAGGTAATGCTGCCCCCAGTGTTCCGTCTCCTATAGGGTAAAAGGCCATACCGTAATAAACGTTGTATAAACCGCTCTCGTGTATTAACCGCACCTGTCTTTTTCACCCTTTTTTTAAAATTTATTTTTTTAATAATTTGTTTAAAGTAGATATTCATTGATTTTAAAAACTAACTTTATTTTCATTATTGCAAAGTTGAACTTTGATTCGACAAGGTTATCAAAATTCAATGCTTGGAAACATTCGAAGTAATGATTATTATAAATTACAAAATGCTTAAATACAGCCCCGGCATAGCACCTGAAGAGCTCTCCGAACGCTGCTGAGATATGTGAGATCACAGTATGGACATGACTTGCACAAGCAGACGATGTCCCATGACATCTCACACATTTTCAGTGCATGTGTTTTCATCTTCTCTTGAGTTCTTTCTCTTACTTCACTACCGTCAGGCTAAAAGTATAATCTATTGCCTCACTCTAAACCCAGCGCATGTTTTTATTTTGATGACAAATGCAGCGATACAAAAATAAAGGAATCTGTCGCTTGTAAACAAAATAAGACGCCATTGTATATTCAGCTGCACACACCGGGGTATGTTCGGCGTTTCAAGAGGGAACAAATGCCGTCCTTAATATCATTCCAGGGGTTTTTCAATTTGAAAGTCTGGTTTCTTTGATTGTTAATTAACCCCTATCCTGTGTATTTACAAGCAAAAGATTTTAGTTATCAGAATCGGGTCATATCCTCTTTTGCATGGTTTGAAATGCCATTACATTTATATACACTAAACTCATTATAATTTGAGAAAAAATAGCTTTGCAATTATGTTCATTCTCTATGGGATGTCGTCTGCTTGGGCGGTGTTGGTCCATATAGTGACATCATTAAAACATCGCTATTTTTCCGGCGAATCTCTCGTATATCCCAGCTGCTATGGAGGTGGTTGTATTTGTATTTTTATAAATCACCCGATATGTAGTTGACCTAAAACCTGTTCGATGGCCATCTGTTATCTTACCAGTTTCTAGTGATACATAGGTTGACATATTTGTGATCTTCTTTGAATTTCACCTTTAAATAATTTTTTTGAATAATTTTTTTCTTCTCCCCCTGTTCAATAAGTGTTGTAACATCACAGATATTTTCAATTCTGTTTGAACGCTAGTCAAAACAGGACGGTTTTCGGTTAAACAAAAATTAATCACATTTGCCAAGGTTTGATTGCCTGATTAGGCTAATAGTGGTTGGGACTGGGCAGGTGCTGGGCCGACCAGCACGGGGGATTTTCGCCCACCATTCCTGATGAAAAACACTACTTTCATCCTGCACTAATTTGAGATGAAAAGTTGTACTTACATTCATATTTCCGTCTTTAATCATGTTTTATTTGCAATTGTGTAAGAATCATGATATCAATTTGTCTTTAACTGATTATTTTTTGAAGATTTGTCGGGTGTTGTTGTCTAAAGATGAGATTCATGCAAGCTGCCATATTGGATTGCAGATCAGCCTTGTTCATTACTGTTTTTATAAGTGTTTATTTTTAAGAGGTTAAATATTTTTTCCCATGATTTTCCAGAATAAATAAATAAAAATACTATAATATATACTTATTTCATGATTTATATTGTAAAGTTTGTCAGAAATTGTTACACTTATGTATCATGTAACCAACACTTGCATGTACACACACTCAAAATATGAAATACACTCAAATTCCCAACGCCCCCCACCAAACATATATTTAGAATCGACGAACATCCATCTTCACGATAGTTAAAATCATCAATCAACCAGAAATATTACAATAATAATGATCAAAAAATAAAATATTGTATATTTGTAGGTTCGTGACAAGTATCAACATAATATCGCTTGATTTTTAATTTTTTTTCTTCATCGTCACGTATTTCTTCCATCTCACTAGATGAATTATCACATTTGTATCCACTTCACATACGCCAACAATCCCAACACAATTATGATCGACTTGACAGTGACAGAGCACAATTCCGGGCCCAAAATTCATATTTAGCATCATCAGTATTACATGAAAATTTACCAGATTCAAGATTATGATATAACATTCACATTAGAAATATTTTTTCTGATGTCAGAACTTCCGATGGATGATTTGAAGGCGTTGAAAACGAGTGTCATTTTCAGGACGATAGTATATAACTAAACCAAGAACTTAAGCCTCGGTGACACAATTAAACCGCTGCTAAATGCAGAGATTGTTTACCGGTACCTGGAATTGCAGCATGACTTATGTCTGTAACGTATATAAACAGCATCCCGATTTTTGTCTCGCCGAGACATAGGCGCCGCTTTTCTTGTTTATGTTTACCAGCGGTAAAAAAAGTGCGGTTAATACACTGTTAATTACGGTATTTTGATAGATGGTGTGAGTGCACTCTGCAGATGGATTTTTTCTGAATTTTGTTTAGAGATGTATCTTGGTACAATACATCTTAACTTTTTAGTGATGCTGCCCTCATTGTTCCATCCTTCATAGGGTCAAAAGTCGTTTGTCCATTTTTGCCACATTTCTTATCGGATTTCTCTCAAATTTTGTTTGGAGGTGTATCTTGGTCAATTACATCTTTAGTGTTTCGTGATCCTGCCACCTGTGTTCTGTCTGTTATAGAGTCCGAAGGTCATATTTTGGGGGATATCTTGTGTCGCTCTGCAGGTGACAGTTCTTTCTACAGAGATGCATTATACTCTACCACAATCTACACACATTGTTTTGGTGATGCTGCTCCTAGTCTTGACAATAGTCTGAGCCACTAGTGGCGAGTCCTACGTCACCCTCTTGTTTCAGGGAGGGGAGAGGGGATCTTTGTCCCTCCTTCGAACATAAGGATGACACAAAATCGTTTCCACTGCCGGGGGATACATTCGCATTGCGCGGCAATACAGATTGCGATATTTCTAGTTATACCTGGGTCGAGAGGGAAAATGTTGGAAAAACGTCTTCCAAGGATGTAAGCATCGAGCAAAGATCGATACCTTGGTCTCTTAGATGAGAGTCATGGGCATTTAGCCATTCACCAATCACTTTGATAAATATCTTCATAAGTATGGTGTTGATGAAGCAATCTTATCAACTGTAATTAGCTTCTTGAGTGATCGAACCCAGGCAGTCAGAATAGGTCCCTGTATCTCCGAAGAATTATCGCTGACCTGCGGAGTGCCTCAAGGGACCAAGCTGGGTCCTTTGATATTTCTAACGCTGGTAAACGACGCTCTGATGGATTTCGATCAACGGTGGAAATATGTGGACGATTTGAGCATTCTTGAGGTACGCTCCACTTCTGGCGTCTCGACGTTAGCGGATCATCTCGACAAGCTGACACTTTGGAGTAAGGAAAATGACATGAAATTCAACGGTCAGAAAAGTAAGACCATGTCAATTGACTTCTCCAAAAACAGAGCGAATCCTCCGAGCTTACATCTGAATAATCGACCGATGGAGGACACGAATTGCCTGAAGCTGCTTGGCGTTCTTATACAGGCGAATCTCAAATGGGATAGCCATATCTCTGACGTGGTCTCAATAGCTGGAAGGAGAATATTCACGATTTGTCGTCTGCGGAAAGCGTCAGTCCCGATGCACGACCTAGTGAATATATATTCCACATACATTCGTCCGTTATTAGAATACGCATCTCCATTGTGGTCTACAAGCATAACAACAAATCAAATCAATGATATTGAGAGGATCCAAAAGCGTATTCGCATCATCCTGAGGGATCAGTACATCTCCTATGAACACGCTTTGGAAACACTTGGCATCAATCGCATGTCCGAGCGACATGAGCAGTTGCTGCTCTCCTTTGCCAAGAGCCTGTTGGCTTCTTCCAGGCATCGAGACTTCCTTCCGCCCCTACGCAGCGAAATATCCTCCCGGCGTCTACGTTACTCGCACCACTTGGATACCCCCATGTGTAGGACTGCTCGATACCGCTCGTCAACAATGCCCTCTGCAATAAGACTGCTTAACGCGAATCTATAAATCGTTTCATTATTTTATTAATTCATTAGTGTTCCTTTTTTTTTTTTAAACTTCAATCGTATGCCCTTGCTAAATATTAATGTTGTGCTTTTTATCTCTAATATAATGTGCAATATCTTATACGAAATTATGTAATATTGTTATTCAAATATCAATTTTTTCTTGTTTCAGATGAATGATGTCATTACAATTAACAATAGCAATTGTTAAATACACTCTGTACTATATTTTTTAGACAAATAACTTTCTTATTCTCATGCATATTAATAGATATTTGGTTTTAAACAAACCGGTATAATAATACGTTTGCAATATACACTTTTATCCAATTTACTCTCAGACTGCCTTAAACTGTAAGCATATTTTAATCCGTTGTTTCATTAGGTCATTAGTGTTCCCTTCTTTTATATATTTTTTTTGATACAAATTTATGCCCTTGCCAATTATTTGACTTGGGTCTTTTTCTCCAATGTAATGTGCAATATCTAATTCGAAATTACACTATATTGTTATTTAAATACTCATTTTAATTTTATTTGAACAACTTTCTCGATCTAGATGAATATTGTCATTACATTTATATTAAAGGGGAAAACGGAATAGAGACTGTCATTTTGACTTTTACGGTTTAATTTCATCCCATCCAATAGGTTTTTATGCCTCCGTTACGAAGTAGCCGGAGGCATTATGTTTTCGGGTTGTACGTACGTACGTCCCGTTCTCGTGATCGCGTTATCTGAAGAACCGATTAATGGATTCCTGCCAAACTTTGGTCATGTATGTATCTTGCAGAGCCGATGAACTGATTAGATTTTGGGGTCACAAGGTCAAAGGTCAAAGGTCACAGGGCTCATTATGTATGCAAAAACAGCTCGTGATCGCGTTATCTGAAGAACCGATTGATGAATTCCTGCCAAACTTTGGTCATGTATGTATCTTGCAGAGCCAATGAACTGATTAGATTTTGGGGTCACGAGGTCAAAGGCCAAAGGTCACAGGGCTCATGTATGCAAAAACAGCTCGTGATCGCGTTATCTCAAGAACCGATTGATGGATTCCTGCCAAACTTAGGTCATGTATGTTACTTGCAGAGCCGATGAACTGATTAGAATTTGGGGTCACGAGGTCAAAGGTCACAGGGCACATTATGTATGCAAAAAATAGCTTGTGATCGTACAATCATTCGAACAGATTGATGGATTCCTGCCAAACTTCATTTATGTATCTTGCAGAGCCAATAAACTGAGTAGATTCTTGGTTCATAAGGTCAAAGGTCATTGGCTCATTATGTATGCAAAAATAGCTTGTGAAAGCATTCTCATTAGAACTGACAGATGAATTACTATTTAACTCAGGACATCTTGCAGAGCCAATGAACTGAGTAGATTTTATGGTCATGAGGTCAAAGATCAAAGGGTCATATATGTATATGAGAAATTGCTTGTAATCATGATATTCTGAGAACCTGTTAATGGATTACAATTGAACTGGAATTTTTAAAATTTCTTCTGTTTTGGTTTCTAAAATTGCTCTATGACAGAGGCATCATTTTCAACTACGTGCAGTCGAAGTTCCATCTAGTTTTTTAATGCTTAATTTCATTTTTTGTAATAGAAATTTTTGTTTAGCAATTGTTAAATACTTTCTCAATTCCTTCGCTCAAACAACTTCCTATTTTCTTCTCCATTCTCTCCTTCCCACCATCTTGGTTTTTCAACATGAAAGTATATTATTACATTACTGTATAACTTTGTTTTGCAATTTCGATTTCATCTTACAATGACTTACAATATGTATTTTAGGTTTGTATATGTTTATATCTCTCTATATTTTTAACTTGTTTATAAATTGAACATTTTCAGCCTGCGAGCTGCTTGTTTGATGTGATTTCTCAATAAATCAAATCAATTCAATCCAATTCAATTTAATAATAAATATGAATATTACTGTTGGTCTAAGGGTAGTGCAGTTTAGTTTTATGAAGTAATCAGTCTAAGCTTTTTAGGACATAGCAAGCAGAGTGAGGATCTCCTTTTAATATATATGTGTTTGTCTTTTTGCTTTGGTTTAGATTCTTGCGGTAGCATACAGGAACTCATTACTGAAGCAGTGGAACTGGAAAGATGGTTCATGTACTAGGACTTGGCAGGTAAAATAGGGGTAGTGTTGTTACATCACGGATATCTCTAATTCCGTTTAACCGCCAGTCAAAACTGGACGGTTTTCGGTTACAACAATTTTTTTTTTTAAGTGTTTTTTATTTTTTAATTTTTTTTAAAAATTTGTGTTTTAATTGGAAAATCATAAGAAATCACATAATTAGAAACTAAATCACTGAACGAAAACGGAGACTTTACTATCGGACATGCTTTGGAACAATGACTGGGTTTCACTTTGTTTATGAAGCTAATAGTACGCACGTGTATTCATGTTTATAGCTCACGATCGTGATATTGCGGAGGTCAGGATTTGGGATTTAAATGGCAGCAGTGCTGTATTGTGCATGTATTTCAAGGCTGGGAACTTAGTTTTACGAGTCAACTTCTCAATCTACAATCTTGCAATTGATTGTTATCGTGTACATTGTTCCTCTGCAATTCAACAGTCAGGGCTGACTTATGATGATTATAATGTCGCCCACACTTGTTTTTGTTCAGTGATTTTGTTTCTAATTATGTACATTATTTGTTGAATTATTATTAAAAAAATAATAATAATAATAAAAATTATTTAAAAAACGGGAAAAGAAACCGTCCAATTCAAAACGGATAGTGCCATGGACAGTCGGATACCGGATGGTTAAACGTTTAACTACAGCACTAAATAGGGGCTTCAAGATTGATTGGCGCCGTCTTATAAAGAGTTGATATTGACTTATTTGCGATTAATATCAATTGCAACTGAATCATAAGAGATAGGTGACTGCAAACTTGTGATTGATTCGAGGACTGGCAATTCATTCGTATCTATCACAACTCTTTATAAGACTTAATGTGAAATCACAAAAAAGAATTAGAAATTAGCTCGATCACGCTGAAAGTCACATGCATTGCAAAAAGAAATAGGTATATGGGACTAGTCCAGAGCTGCCAACCATTACGTTTTTCCCTGGAATTATTCTGTTATTTACTCCCAAATACTGTAGTACCGGTACGTTTGTTCTTCCCAAAGTACTTAAAAAAAAAAAAAATTATATATATATTTTTTGGGGGGAACATCAACCAAAAGTCCTAAAATGTTAATCACTACTTCAATAGTAAACAAAGAAAAAAGTTAAAGGCGTAAATATTCTCAAAAAGAATGAAACGCTGTTAATACCAAACAAACAACAACAACAAAAGACTTTACCTACTTTTAAATAAACTATAGGTCCTAATATGGAAATATAAGCATGAGAAATGCACATTTCTGCATTGGAAGTGTGTCGCGCGTGAGTAAGTTTCTTTTTAACGAATTTTCTGTTTTTTGCTCTAATTTTTTATGCTTCCGTTACAAAGTAGCCGGAGGCATTATGTTTTTCGGGTTGTCCGTCCGTCCGTCCGTACGTACATACGTACGTCCCGTTCTTGTGATCGCGTTATCTGAAGAACCAATTGATGGATTCCTGCCAAACTTTGGTCATGTATGTATCTTGCAGAGTCGATGAACTGATTAGATTTTGGGGTCACGAGGTCAAAGGTCACAGGGCTCATTATGTATGCAAAAACAGCTCGTGATCGCGTTATCTGAAGAACCGATTGCTAGATTCCTGCCAAACTTTGGTCATGTATGTATCTTGCAGAGCCAATGAACTGATTAGATTTTGGGGTCATGAGGTCAAAGGTCACAGTGCACATTATGTATGCAAAATCAGCTCGTGATCGCGTAATCTCAAGAACCGATTGATGGATTCCTGCCAAACTTAGGTCATGTATGTTACTTGCAGAGCTGATGAACTGATGAACTGATTAGATTTTGGGGTCATGAGGTCAAGGTCAAAGGTCATGCGGCTCATTATGTATGCAAACATAGCTTGTGATCGCATTATCATTAGAACAGATTGATGGTTTCCTGCCAAACTAAGATCATTTATGTATCTTGCAGAGCCAATTAACTGAGTAGATTATTGGTTCATAAGGTCAAAGGTCATGGGCTCATTATGTATGCAAAAATAGCTTGTGAACGCATTCTCCTTAGAACTGACAGATGGATTACTATTTAACTCAGGACATCTTGCAGAGCCAATGAATTGAGTAGATTTTAGGGTCATGAGGTCAAAGATCAAAGGGTCATATATGTATATTTGTTTGATTGATTTTATTTCTGCGTTCAAAAATATACAAATTCAAAGTCAAAGTACAAAATTTCGAACAATAACAAATACAATGAATACAATGTTTACAAAAGTAATTAAATGAAAAATCATGTTCAATTATATCATTCGATAAACATGTACGAAGCATACAATAACATAAGAAATATGAAATATTTTCAATAAATTAGAGAGGTAATTTGGAACGCAGGAGACCACCATCGTGAGCGGTTAGGCTGGAGATGGATGGCGGCCTCGTAAAAAGAATTGGCGACATAACTCTCTTCGAAAAACTGAGTGACCAAGAGGGTGCGGTGCAAGTGCAGGTGCAGTGAGCAGTTGCATGATAAAGAATAAATAAGTCACGGTTTTGTTATACTAATTTAGAGAGGGGGAGCATATGATTGTATTATTTGTCGTTTAAGTGTAGCTTTTAAGGAGTAGATGGTTGAACAAGACTTTATGTGAGAAATTGCTTGTAATCACGATAATCTGAGAACCTGTTAATGGATTACAATTGAACTTCAATTTGACAAATTTCTTCTGTTTTGGTTTCTAAAATTGCTCTATGACGGAGGCATCATTTTCGACTGCGCGCAGTCGAAGTTCCATCTATTTTTTTTTTTTTTTTTGCCATCATGTTTCCTTTTTGGGGGGTTGCACAGGTTGGCAGCTCTGGATTACTTTTACATGGCATAAAAATGATGAAATTTAGGTCCAAAATTTCAGCCATGGGAGAATGAATAGAACAAGAAAGGTCACAATATTTTGTCTTACCTTTATGAGAACTCGACCTTCTCTTTATTATGAAACAAAGAATACCCCACCCTGCACCAATACAACGCATAAGGGTTACAGTCAGATCAGGGTCAGGGTTAGACAGTTGCTTGCTGAGGGAGCTTTTGATGGTGTATGATGGTGTTTGTGATTATGATGATGACGATGATGATAAAGGTGGTAATGATAATGATGATGGTGAGGATGATGGTGATGGTGTATGATGGTGGTGGTGGAGATCTACACATAATGTTTCTATTGCTGTTTTTATTCAGTCTTTGCACAGAGGTCCAGTGGTGAGTATGGCCTTTGACTCAACGTCCACCCTCCTGGCTACGGGAAGCAGTGATAGTACCATCAAACTCTGGGACATCGTCCGCCAGTACTGCACCCATAACCTCAAAGGCTCTCAGGGCGTTGTCAGGTAGGGCACAGATGGACAAAAGCACAGTTGGAAATTCACATGACAGATATACCACTTTGGGATTACCAAAAATGTAGGCCTCATGATTAAAAAATAGTATTTAAACAAAAACCCCTAAATAGAGTTTACTTGTATTCACTTATTGTGCAATTCTCGCTATTGCTAATATATTAAAAATACCTGTGTGTTATGTTCAGGCCCCATTTTAAATGCCTTCTAGGATAGTTTGGTTACCAAGTCGCTTCCGGTCTGTTTCGCTGGGCTGTGCATGCTTACGTTGATTGTGTGTGTGTACTATATTTTCCGACAGCAGAGATGCCAACCCTCCCGATTTTATCGGGAGGCTCCCGATAATTCACCCCAACTCCCGACCTTACGATCACCATCCTTATCCTCCCGATTTATTAAAAAAAAAAAAAATGATTTTTTTTTTTTTTTTTTTTTTTTTTTTTTTTTATTATGATTTTTTTTGGAGGGCGCTTATCAGTATATATATCTGTGAATTGAAAGAGAAATATCATCTGCTAACTTAAGCATGTAATAATTCCACTATGTTAAAAGACAAATTAAGAGTAGCGAAAGATTGTTTCAGCATATGGATCGCCGTAACCAATGCGTGGATATTGCCACAGAATCCAAATGGCGGAAAATCAGCAAAATAAGACCAGGAAATGGTCTCGGAAGTATAAGACCGAATACAGTATCAAGTACCTGTGTAATCGGAAGTCTGAAAGTAATTCATCATGCATTTTGTACAATTTTTATGTTATTTAAAAAAAAAGGGGGAATTATTTAACTAAATACACATGTAAAATGCTCCAAAATAAGGCTCAGATTGCACCAGAGAGCATCTAGAACCCCAGAGCTTCCAGGGCCCTAAGGCGGGCCCTGGACCCCGGCCGCATGTGTCGGGCGCTACGCGCTCGAGATGTGCGCTACGCGCACATTAATTGGTGTCGATTACAAATCCTCCCTATTTCTGATTTCCAAAAGTTGGCATCTCTGCGACAGTATTCACAGTGATTTTTCATGATTTTCAAGAATGGATCATAGCGGAAAATGTATAAAAGTGTTGTTAAACGTAATAAAATAAACATTTGGATGTGTGATGGGCAAGAGCAAGTAGAAGCATAGAAATAATAACATCAACTTTCTTTGGTTGTGTTCGTTGGCAATTGCGATAAATCTTCTTAAACAGTAAAAAACGGGACTACAATAAAGGGTGCGTTGGCTCATTGGAAGCACGGACATAGTATGCTTTGGTGGGGTATTCAAAAGTTAATGTATTCTGTGTCCTCTTACTTGAATTGCAAAATCAGTAGCCTCGTAGCCATTGTCTCCCAAACCATTGAAAAGATCATTATAGCTGTCTAATTTCTTCCCATTTGATTCCTCAATGTTTGTCTCAAAGGGGAATGTGAGCTCTATGACCAAGATCTTCACCATGGTCTCCCAAATCCTTACTAGGTCAGGGCGTTGTGTCGTAATAAGGATATGAGGGGGAATGGTACCATGCAATAGTACTATTGTCAAGGTTGGCGTATATGTTCACATAATCCAGGGGGGGGGGGTGATTCCTTAGCTGTTATATACAAATATCATAGAATGTTGTTATGATGCAATTTGTATCTTTCAAGAAACACTGTACAATTTACCAAAATGTGGTGGAGGCTGTCGCTCTTGTCACTATGTTCCATGAGCTATTGCGAACATCAAATGTATCTTCTATTCTACTAAGGTTTCGTTGGCACACTACAATAGACGACTGCTTCTGTGTTCATTGTGACTCTCTATCAATAGTGCAATCAAGAGCATGGCTTACTTGCGGGTCCCATTCTGCTTACAATCTCACTAGGTTCAAAGTGTGGCCCTGCCAATAGATGTTAGACATCTGGGGTATATGCATTCCTTGGGGCATAAATAGTTAAAGAAAACAAACAGATATTTGCAGCCAAATATCTAGTGTAGATGGCCAACTTATACTCTGGTCTTATCGTAGATCTATCTATTCTCTCTAGGCTTGCTTTGACTTTGTTTTTAACATGGCTAAATATATTAGATGCCTTGTCGCTAGAAAAGGTTGGGAACAAGAAAATGATTTATAGCTGACTTATCAAAATAACTACTACACAATAATTTCGAGAAGTTCCAAAAGTCAGTGTGGTATCGTTTTTCATTACTACAAAAAGTCTTTTACAACCTTTGACTTGTCCAATTTCTTTTTCAGGAAAGATATTGCCTTACCCCATCTCTGAACTTACTTTTATCCTCATCTGTAGTCTTTGCGACGAAGCGTATTTTTCCTCTTCTTCGTGCCTGTGAGGGTCTTCAGCTTGTGTTCAATGTACCTTTGTGAATGACTCTCTCCCACAAAATCAGGCTGTGCAGAGTAGTAAAATAGTCTTAATAAATCTATTTGCTGCTTTAGTATACGAATGATGCATGCGCATGATTTCATTATACGATCTATCCTCACTCCAGTTGAGGCTGTATGTATTGCACGAAGCTGTTAGGCTGAGTGCGATAGATACACACAGCATCAACGAGGGTGGATAAATCGTTTAATGAACGAATGAAAACATGCATCATTTGTTTTATACATCGCACACATAGATATAACAAGCGCACTTACCTCTATACCCATTTACGCATAGTGCTGAGCAAGAATAGGCCCAATATGCACACACAGTACTGAGCGCTAACCTCTATGCGCATCATGCACATGCGCTAAAAAAGCGTGCAATAGGACTGGAAAATATTGCACAGTGTTTTATGAAAAAGCGTGCAATAGGCTCAGTAAATGAATCACACGTGACCGTGCATGACCAATCATTTGATTAGGATCTGGGAGTGAGTTGTCTAATAGTGGATATACATGTGAATGGCATAGGCTCGTGATGTACAGATCAACACTGACGTATCTTGCGAGATCCTCTCCAGTTCAGAGTTACTAATTCGCACCTTCAAAAATAAATATAATTCTTACTTATTTTTAATCAGTTTTTGCCAAACTTTCAGTCACTCGTTTCTCTCATTTTTCTCCTCCTTTTAAAGGGAGTGTAGCTGAGCAAATACTGGCTAACGCCATCTACGTCTTCTTTTGGACAACTGCACGTAAACGAACGGACTTGATTAACGGTATTCAGCGACTTAACCTCTACATGGTCAGCGTGCTAGCGTTCGCGAAACAGACCGAAGTTCTCCGCACGCTTCAGTTTTGCGTATTTAGCACCCACGTGATTGCTGAGGTCTCGTCGTCCGTAGTCATATTACTCCTTATTGGCCCCGAGTAGGGCCACGAGAGAGACACCTAGTCTCATCATGCTACACTCCCTTTAAAATCAACTTATGGACTTCACCTTTAAGCCAGCAGCTTTCCTTTGTCAGTCATCCATAGCATAGCTTAGTGTGAACGCACCCACCTTGGCCCTGCACAGTACAAATGACAAGATGTGAAAGGGTCCAGTCAGCCCATTGTGTACTTGCAGGGTGCTTTGAACAACAGATGGAAGAAGTGACAATGACCTTATCGCCATTTTGCAAAGCCAGAAATATGTAGATTGCCTCATGTTGCACATTATATTTTATTAGTTATCATTATTTTCACCTCACAGTATTGAATCAGTAAGCTTTATTGGTCAGTACTGTATGTAATTCTGTCATTTTACACTGAAATTTATCATTTATACAGTCTTGTACAGTTTCATCCCGACTCTGAGAGACTACATCTCTTCTCCGTATCAGACGACAGTCACATCAGAATATGGGATCTACAGACTAGCAGGTAAATGATTCAAGTCTCTCTTTAGTACAAGTCACAAATGCAAGTGAATTTGTTCATGCTTTGTTTACTAAGGGTTGGGGCTGGGCTAATATAAATACTTGGATGTAATATTATAGTATTATGACTGAATTTAACGTACCCTTTTTGGTGCTCTTACTGTCAGCAAGTCTTGCATTTGATCATCATCAAGAAGTTGAAATCTTGGGAGAGTTTCTTCAGCCATTTTTGCCTTCGGTTTGGAATTTAGTACGATCAAGATTTCAGTATTGAAATTACCGACCAATTCTTTGCACACGTACGGTATCCTCAATCGCTCAAACCAGTTTTTAACTATTTTCCCCGGTAACCATGGTAACTGGAATTTTAGGACTAGCAGGTAAATGATTCAAGTCTCTTTTTAGTACAAGTCACAAATGCAAGTGAATTTGTTCATGCTTTGTTTACTAATGGTTGGGGCTGGGCTAATATAAATACTTGGATGTAATATTATAGTATTAATGACTGCTTTGAGAGAAATAGTTGTTTTTATACGCTGTATAAAACAACTATTTCTTGAACATTAAAGCAGTCATTAATACTTTTATATGCCAAAAAAAAAAAGAGTCAACTTATGACACCACTTTGGCCTTTCTCTAGTTTATCTGCACGGTTGTTTTTTATGAGTGTATCTTTGAGAGTAGACTAGATCTAGATTCTAGTCTAAGCAAGATACTTTTACAATTTTGGGGGTGGGCCGGCCCTGTGGGGAATATGGAGAAAAATCTGCGCTTTCATATGACACCTCACTTATTGAGTATCACCTTCAGGATCACGAGCAATATTAGTTTGAATCTCTGGTAATTAAAACATTGACCAATTTAGCAATGGCCAATGCATAGGGATGTGTGCAAGTGCGCAATGGCCAATGCATAGGGATGTGTGCAAGTGCGCAATGGCCAATGCATAGGGATGTGTGCAATCTCAACGGGGAGGATTTTAGCACTACTAGACCTACTTACTAGAATCTAGGCCTACTAGATCTACCGCATAGGCCGCACCCCAACTTTGACATTTCAAAGAGGGGAAAAAAAGAAGAAAAAAAAACAAACAAACAAACAATCAAACAAACGGACAAAACAAAATAATCGTAATTTTCTCGTAAAACACTATTTTTTTTTACAAACTGATACCAAATTCATCAATATTCTTATAATTAACGGAAGTTTAGCTAAAAAAGTGATCTCAGGCAGATTTAGTGTCCGATATATCCCTACCACAATATACGGTGTAATGCGAAATTGCATGAAATGGAAAACAAAATGGCGACTTCGGATGGATGCTTTGCGGCAGCTCCGACAACCGGTCCCTTCCTTTACTTTTGCAATGCATTGGCACGAACTTAGAGCAAATGTTATTTTAGGAAGTTATTTTCGTCTTCATGTCAACAATGCAAGATAAAATTGTCAGTAATGTGTGGAAATGTCCTTTACCATAGTGGTGTATATATATATATATATATATATATATTGTACCGTTCGTAATCCCATATATGCAAATTCGTGCTGGTTTTGACTTTAGTTTTTTTTTTTTTTTTACTCTTTCCCCGCAAAGGCCGCACCCCGACTTTTTGATATTTTCTCTTCCAAAAATACTGCGGCCTTTACGCCGGCCTATACAGTATTTTATGGAGAATTTAACGTACCCTTTTTGGTGCACTTACTGTCAGCAAGTCTTGCATTTGATCATCATCAAGAAGTTGAAATCTTGGGAGAGTTTCTTCAGCCATTTTTGCCTTCGGTTTGGAATTTAGTACGATCAAGATTTCAGTATTGAAATTACCGACTAATTCTTTGCACACGTACGGTATCCTCGATCGCTCAAACCAGTTTTTAACTATTTTCCCGGTAACCATGGTAACTGGAATTTTACAACTATTATTTTAGAACTATTACATGGGTTTGGAATTTTACAGGAATAGTTAAAGTTTATGAATGCAATTTCGACCAATCAGATGGCTGGATTTCTTAAGTGAGGTATATAATCTTGTATAGCTAGTCATGTTTCGACTAAAAAAGGCCAATAGGGTGTCCCTGAGAGAGGTATTCTGTTGGACGAGGATGACCATCTAGCCGATCTGTACTGCTGTGAGCGGTAGGTATCAGCTGCCTTGTATGGGTGATACGTGGTCTGGGGTCAACCATGAATGTTGCCCTGATCAGCAGATTTCACCACACCTAATGTCGCTTTCTGTTCATCTTTCATGTGTTTTAGTTTAACTCTCTTTCCTAAATCATCCCCAAAGAGGAATTTTGTCACAGGTGCTTTGCACAAATGAGAGTAAGCCGGATTCATATCTGGATTGATGAGTTCTTTACACAGGGAGTTCATCTCATAGTTGGCGTTGGAGAGCAATGCTGAAGCATCCTGCTGTGTCTCTGTGAGGTTAGCAGACGAAAGCAGATGTGTATACGCAGTTAAGCCCCTCGTAAGGAGCTTTTGAACTATGGTCAGTTTTAGTTCACGACTTCGAGTAAACGGTGACAACTTTTCCCAAATTACCGAGTTAACTTTTGGTACATCTAGGATGGGACAATTGCTCGTCAGCAAGTTCTTAGCCTAGGTTTCTTCAAGAACTTTATCCTCAAATTTTTGATTTGGCATGTAAGAAGTGGAACTAGCTACTTCATCGTCGAGTGGTGTACCCACATCTGTCTGTGCTGCAAACTTCATTGCAAAAGCAGGGATAACTGTTAGAGTCAGCATGCAAGTGCTGCCTCATTTCATCCTCAAGCACTGACTCATCTCCACCATAAACACATGTAGTGTCCTCATCTACCCCCGGCAAATTGCATGATGGGGGCTCATAATCATAACTTGTGCTTGCCTCAAATCAATCTGCCTCTGCTTGAAGTAGAGGCTCTAGCCTGCTTCTGAGCTGGTGCCGGTGGAGTTTGAGTTTGAGGGAGAGCCTCAATCACTCGCGATAACATATTCTCCAATTTAGAGAGGCAGGTGTCATAATCCACAGTTGCAGGCATTGATTTTTGTCTCGCCTGCGTAGCAAAAAGCGAGATATAGGCACCGCTTTTCCGGTGATGGCGACGGCGGCGTCGACATCAAAAACTTAACCTAAGGTTAAGTTTTTGAATTTTTAATATATTTTTAAAGTATAGGTTCTTAGTCAATGAAACTTTGACTAAAGGGTAATCAAGTATCCCCAATCATGTTTGTAGAATTTCAGATCACAAAGTCAAGGTCAAAGGTCATTTCAGGTCAACAGACTTGGAATATGTTGTAGCATCATCATTAAAAACTTAACCTAAGGTTAAGTTTTTGAATTTTTTGATATAATTTTGAAAGTATATGTTCTTAGTCAATGAAACTTGGACTATAGGGTTTTCAAGTCTCCCCAATCATGTGAGTAGAATTTCAGGTCACTAAGTTAAGGTCAAAGGTCATTTAAGGTCAACAAACTTAGACTTTGTTGTGGCATCAACATCAAGATTTTCAAAATGCTTCTTCTTTGTTATTTTCAACTGATTTTGATTCTGATTGTTTCATATGATAGGGCTAGGAGGGGGATTTAAAACTTCTACACAGAATCGTGAAATTCATTATCTATGCTAACTTATGCAAAATTATTCGAAATCACAAAAAATGCTTCTTCTCCTTCATTTCTCGACCGATTTTGATTTGGTTTGCTTTATCTGGTAGAGCTAACTTTGGTACACTAAATTTCTACACAAATTTTGAAATTGTTCTCCATTAATTAATAATGGTAATTTATGCAAAATTTATTCCAAAAATAACAAAAATTGCTTCTTCTCCCTCATTTCTTGACCAATTTTGATTTGGTTTGCCTTATCTGGTAGAGCTAAATTTGGAACACTAAACTTCTACACGGAATTTTGAGATTTTACTCCATTGATTAATTTATGGTACTTTATGCAAATGAA